AGAGTGTTCTCTGCACCTACATCACTGTGTGGTGTGGCTGCACTGTTACTGAGAGGGTGGCTCTGCAGATTGTGGTTAAGGCTGCGTAGAGGACTGTAAGGAGCAGCCTTCCCTCCACCTCAAACCTCTACACATCAAGGTGCAGGGGAAGGCGCTCTGCATCATGAAAGACTCCACCCATCCTGCACACAGATTGTTTCAAGAGGTTGAGTAGCATCCAGAGCAAGATCAACAGGCTCAGAGATGAGATTTCATTTTTTTTCCAAACCAGGTAAAGGACTTGTTTATTTATACTTATAAAGCATGCTTTTATATTTCATATGTACCTTGATGTAGAAAGTACTACCGCATTCTCAAGAAATACATAAAGCATGATACATGATATTTACACACATTGATTTCCCAAAAGTATAGTTTGGGAAATCAATATGTGTAAATATCAATGTTGCTTCTTTAAATAATTCATGAATTCCCCTGAATTTATAGGACTTTTAATTTTAAAGTGAGAATCAAAGTTAGGAAACTGACAGTCTGCCGATATCACGTGATACCATGATTTAATCATTTTCTTTTGGTCACTTCCATGCTCTGCCACACTCATTAATATATTCTCCACTGAACAGAGTTCTTCACAGATGGCACAGTTCACAGAAACTCCCTGTTCATTACTGCATGTTCTCATCTTTGTTTTATGGGCCAGTAAAGCATCTGGTCAGCACAGAAACTAGTTATGTCTTGTAGTTCATAATAGGAATTCAGTCATTGAGAAAAAAAATTGTAATCTGTGTCCTAATCTATCCATATGCCACTATTCTTTTAAATGACACTTCTTGTCTTTGACAGTTTTCCCCATGAGGTTGAGAGTCTGATGACCTCAAACCTCCAACATACAAATAGACACCGAAATGTATACTCTTATTAGAACGTTAGAACAGAGGTGAACTTCAGGACAAAGACATCATCCTTGTTTGATATTTTTAGATTATTGCTACAGTTATTTTGATATAATTACAATTTCATACTCATAACATAGAAAGAAAACAATATAGCATACCTTATTTGTGAAACATAATTATTCCTGATTAATACTTAGGGAGACTTTAAGCCTTAATCCTGCAGAGAAGTTCTGGACTGCTGAAAACAGAATGAAACCATGTGATTTATGGACTCAATAAACAGAATTTCAGAAAGAAATAGAGATATTTTATGTGTGCTTTTGTTTCTGTATATAGTATATATTTCCATTGCCACTGTCGCCCCAGTGGCGTTGGATGTAGGAGTTTGCCCTGAAATCGAAGGATTGACGGTTCAAGCCCCGGCTCCGACTTTCAGTGTCATTGTGTCCTTGGGCAAGACACTTCACCTGCATGGTCTAATGATGGTGGTCAGAGGGCCCGGTGGCGCCAGTGTACGGCAGCCCCGTTTCTGTCAGTGAGCCCCAGGGCAGCTGTGGCTACAATGTAGCTTGCCACCGTGAGTGTGTGTAAATGGGTGAATTAATGTAGTGTAAAGTGCTTTGGTCAAGTCTCCTGACTTGAATAAAGGCGCTATTTAAGTACATGCCATTTACCATTATGCTTGAAGTCCTTTCTGGTTGTATTTGAATTCTTATGTATTTCTTGTTTACTCTCTGTTGCCCCCTTGTGTAAGTCTCCTTTCCCCTAAGCTCCCTTCTATATCCTTCTGTCCACACCTGCTCCCAATCAGTTGATTACTCTATTCTTTGTACTGTTTGGCATTTATACTCCTCCTCTGCAGTTAAAGTTGGCTGAATTCTCTTCATTCCTTCATTCCCTCCTTAACCCATGTGTTCTCTTTTGTTCTGGTTCCTGTGTTCCTTAATCAGTTATTTCTGGATTTATATTTCTGTTGCCACCACTCCTTACTAAATCTGTTAAAAACCCCCTCATCTTTAACCTCAGCATCTGGATCATCTACAAACCTTGGTGTAACCTGACAGCAAACAATAAATAGTATTGGAGGAATTATATCTATATTTAAATTTATTGAAATTTAATTGATAGTTCTGATATAACAGTCCAAGAAAATAATAAAAACAGGCTTTAAGTTGGATGAAGAGTAAATGTGTTGCCCTGTGGTTCAGATGAATTATTTCAGATCTATAGTGCATGGCTGAACTATCCATACAATTGGTAGTTGCTGTATTCTATTAATATGTATGTAAATCAAAGAGGACCTCTGAGAATGGTGCTTTGGTCAGTTTTAGCTAGAATCTAAAACTGAATTATTCGGAAACCGACACAGAGTTTTCAAACCGAAACAGAACAAGTCAACTATGAAACTAGATGATGGAAGTTTCATGTTCAAACATGCTTTGCTTCTACAGAACGGGCCCGCTCATCATCACAGTATCTGCCATGAATTCATCAGTTCATAAGGGATGTTCTAAGAAATGACATGAAACTAGATCCTTACAAAAATCACCATCACAGTTTGGCTGAGAATAAAAAAAAGATATATATTTCCTCAGACCAATGTCAGTGACGTTGAAATGCCAGGAAGAACCATCTTGATAAATTTATTCCAACCAAAGGTGGTAATACTGGCTATCTGGACTATGGTGCTCGAGTGTACTTATTCTAAGACATCAAGTTTTTGTTTATAAGTTTAACAAAATGTTTAAGGCTAGTTTTTGGTGTTTACATGTAAATATATATCTTTACTTTCCAAAGATAACAAAATATAGAGATCAATGTTTGAGCATTTCTTTTAAAGAACAAAATATTTATTGGAATTCTGATACTGGATCTTGGTTTTGCTGGATGTTTCATCATGCTAAAAGGGTGTTTTTTCTACCCACTATTGCTGCATGAATTTGTGTGGAAGGTCAGTGACGTTATCAAAGCTGATGTTCACTTTTGCTACATGCTCGTACAGAAGGTGTGTATATTGACAAAAGCAAACACTCTTGCCAGTTTAAAAGTAGTTACAGAGTATTTCGCCATTGTAAACTAGCTTTAAAAATGCAAAATGCAATAGGGTTAGTTATACAATAAAAATGAATGTAATTATGTTGGTCTTTTAATTGTTTTCCTTTCAACCCTTTCAGAAAATAATGGTTTACTTTTTTTGCAATTCAAACATAAAAAAATACCCTTTATGGAAAGACCTGCAAACATGAATGTTCAGACCTTTGATCAAAAGATGTCTACCTTTTGCTGTTTGCCGTAACAAAGTTGTGAGCCCTCTGACGAGGAAGTTTGCCCTTGGATTTTGAAGAGGAGCTGGAAGGAAAATCCTCCCAACAACGCCCAGGGCTATAAAAGTAAAAGCCAAACTGTCACAGGTTCGTTATAAAGTAGCTGCTCATCAGTAATGTCAGTCTGAGACCTAATCAGTATGCTGCGAATTGGCTCATAAAGATTCACACATAAAACCACCGCACTAGAACATCTGCTTGGGACTTTATCATAGCACTTCATTTGACATGTTTGGTTTTTTCACAAAATTATTTTCCAATTTAGTCATAATGTTTATAATTGGATCCTGCACCTCATTGTTGGCCACTACAGGCAACAGCTGTGAACAGAAGTTGGAGTTTTTCTGTTTTTTTCAAAAGATATCACTTATTTGCAAATGTTTTGAGACTGTCTTGTCAAGTAAAGTTTAATGATGAGGATAATACTATTAGTGAGGTACTCAAATCTGTGGGTGGAGCCCTCTGGAATGACACCCAAGGTTATCCCCTCATTCTGCCAGCCCCTCAACCAACTGATATGCAAAGTAAACTGGGATTTCTGGTATTCTGGGATGTGACTTATGGAGTGCGGTCTTGCAGAAGGAACATAACCCGGTCTCTCTATTCCTGCAGCAGCATGATGTAGGGGAAACCTCATTAACATGAGAGTACTGCACATACGTTAAAGCATAAAGTAACAGAATTGGACTGTTGTGGACTGGAAGAAATGTATTTTCACTGATGTGGCCCCCTTCAGACTGATCCTGAGACTATTCATGCTTGCTTTTGTTATTCCTATGAATAAAGAATGGGATCAAAAATCTTTCAAGATGAACTTTTCGTTACGTAAAATGGATCAAGACAAAAGTAGTAACTTAGCTGGTTTAGGTATGAAATCATTGAAACTTTGCATCAAACCAGTGTAGCACTTTGCAATAAAAAAGTTGCAGCTAAGTGCTGCACATTAAGAATGTAATGGGGATTGTTAAAAAATAAAATAAATTGTATGAAAATATTATGAAAAAACAAATGAAATTGAAAAGTAGAAACAGTTGAGACATCCATCTTTCATCCAGCTCTTAATAATTGGTTCATTGTTCCAGTGTGAAAAATCAAGTGGACAATGTGTGACACCGCAAAGCCCTTTTAAGAAAAACTTATCAACAGCAATAAGGTTTGGGGCAGAAACAGATGAACATCATGACAGACTGACCTGCAGAAGTATTGGGGGAAAAAATGGGTCAGTGCCTTCAACATGATGTTTTGTTTTAGCTTGATGTATTTCTCAATAAAATCCTCCTTTTTAAAATATGTTAAAACAATATATATATATTTTGCTTCAGTCTACCATAGAAGAATCTGTCAAAAAGATTTAACAACACTAAAGCAGTAATGTCTGTTTGCTTCTGTTTCTGCATCTGTTTAAAATGCATTAATCCTTAATGATGCTTTTGGTAATCCACCAAGTCTTTCATACATAAAAAAGCCCAACATGACCAACTTTGTGGGGAAATCCTTTCAGACTCCCTCTGATCTTCAGCCCTTCCCTCTGTGGAAATGGGACTCTCATTCAAAACCACTAATCTAAATGCATAATAGAATAATGTTTCATAGAAGACAGAATCAGTATTTCTGCTGTTTAGGGAATACAGATGGGAAATAAGGATTCTCAAGAATAACTTCTTAATTCTCCATACAGTTTGGAAGCATCTGCTGTTTAAATAAAATACTTGAGCACAAAATGCATTTGACAAAATAACTAACTGGCTGCTGCTTCTGTGTTTAATACCATAATGTACAGATATATAATGAAGAAAGGCGACAGTTCAGTCTGGTGAAGAATCAACCTCGAAGGATTGTGGAAAAGGTGGCTTTGGATATAGAAAAACTGCTGGCAAAGAAGCGCAAAGCACTCGATGTGAGCATATAAAGTCTTTATTATGGAAAAATATTTATGAAATTTGCTTTATTTGTGGGGGACATGAACTGACAGGAAGATATGGTGGTCCAGAGGGGTCAACTTAATCTAAAAGCCACACCACAGCAATACAAGTCTAAATAATCTGAAGTTAAACAAAGTGAAGTTGTTCTGAAGCCAGTTAGTTTCAATAAATAGTGGTTTTAGGAAGAATGATGGAGATGGAGGAATATTGCAGAGGAATCTTTGGTTATGGTGCTAATTCTGTGAGTCTGTGAAGTGGGTTCTAGTATGGCAGTTTTCAGTGTTTTGCAACCAAAGATAACTAGTGATGATTATTTGACAGTGTCAATCTTGAAGTGGGACAGCTCCTATACAATGTCCACTGATCAACCAAAAGGAATGCAGCTGTTGAATGCAAGATCTGTTTCCATGTTTTTTTTATGAACCATAGAAGAGAAACATGCAAACATCATCAGCAGGAACATCACATATTAGATGAGAAATCATAGCAGTAAAATGGAAAAATCTAATAAATAAGTAGGCTAATAAATACAAAGTTACCAGATTTGGTGTGCCAAACTTGAAACATGAAAGAAACGTATCTATTACATGTATCTACATCACAAACACTGACACTGATATATTTTTGTTGTGGCTTTTGGATTTTGCTGACCCCTGTCAGCCACCATTGGAAGAGGATATGTAATTTTGTTCGCAAGCAAAAAAAAAAAAAAAAAAACTGGTTCCCCTTTTTGAAATCAGTTTGGGAGTAAATGCATTTACTTCCTTATTTGGCTGTAGAAATGTATTTATTAATTAGTAGGTAGAAAACAGCATTAAGACCAAGTCTGGTAAATACTACTGAGGTTTTATTTGAGCTACTGTAATAAGTCAGCCATACTAATGTGTTCTGATGTTTTGCTGTCTGAATCATATAGCGTTTAGCGAGTGAAGCAGAACGACTCCAACGGGAACATATATGGCAAGATGGACTCAAGGTAAGTTTGTTTTTCATTTATAGCCCCTGAATAGTAACCTCCTTTGTTTGATATAACATTTGATTTTAAAGAAATTTTCTAATGATATATGGCAAAGCCACTGGTTTTCCACTCAATCCATTTTTTCCCAAAAAATCTACTTTTGAGAAACCAATAGGAACTGAAATAAAACAAATCTGTGGCTGATATGAACTTCGTCCCTTCACTCAGCCTTATAAATAGGGTAAGGACATTCATCATTAAGGGGAGTTTCAGAGTTGAGCTGCTGTTTTGATATTGACTAGAGATGCTTGAGATAAGAGACCAGTGGAAGGACTAAATATCTGGCCTACTGTATGAATCCCTTGGGAATGTTCAGAATGAGAACAAGAATGGGGAATTGGATGGATGATTTAAACTGTAAATGTATAAGCATTATTATCATGTACTGCAATGGAATGTAGTAAATTATTGCTATTTATCTAAATTTTAGGCTTTCATTCTGTTCATAGATTTTGGGGCGCTTTATATGCAATGCAGAAAGGTTTCAGAAGATAGATACATCAGTCATAGGGCAGAGGAAACAAAAAAAAAAAAATCATCGTTAACATGGACAAAAAATATTTTTTTTTCACAGTATCCATACAGATTATTTACAATGCTGTATAATAATGTCCTCATTTTAAGAAATTGATGGCTTAACATGCACCAACAATATTGCACATCATGTTTTCCTAATATCTCCAGGCCTAACTTGTCATTGTCTTGTCAGTTTGGGCCAGTGTGAGATTCTAATGGTAAAGCCTGGAGTAAAACTAACCTGCTTTAATTTGAACTTTAAAAAAGCAAACAAATAATGCATTACTTTTTCTTAGAACAGTATAAATTACTTTACTTAATTCTTTATTACTTTCTCGCCGGAGCGAACCGGTGGTTGTCCTTTTTGATAGTATACTGATAGCTAGCGTGACATAGCAACATTATTATTAGCATCACTAATAAGATTTTATATTAATTTTTATCTCTGAGATATAGCTTTGTCACGTGCAACTGCGGTTCAAATGAGGTGTCTCCAGAAACTTATATAGCAGAGATAGGTGTTACTGGTGTAGATCAATACAATGCTGAAAAAAAGCAAAACGCAGGTTAAGTATAGTGAAGTTTTTCCATGAAAATAACTGTAATCTGTTAATATCCATTTTTTCCTAGCCTTAGATTTCAAATGAATATACATTTTAAAATAATTGAATGTTTTTGCAAGCATGTAACAAGAATATTTGCAGATATTTGTAATAATTAGGCCTTTCTATTCTACTCTTGGATTCATGGATGTTGCTTTAAATGTTGAAAGCTACATCACCTTTTTTGAAGCTTTGATGGCGTATGTTTGACAACCGTGAACAAAGTTTGCTTACTTTAACTTCTTCTGATCAGAGAATGTAATAAAACAATTCTCTTTACCATTTTAAACAAATATAAAGAATTTGAAGCAGCCTCAATGATCTGTAATTGTTTTACTTGATATGTTTTTTTTATTTTTTATGTACCTGTCATTTATTTTAATGTATCTATGTTTAATGTATCTTATTTAACTTTGCTGCCTCTTGGCCAGGACACCCTTGAAAAAGAGGTTTTTAATCTCAATAGGGTTTTTTTCTGGTTAAATAAAGGTTAAATAAAATAATATCATATTTGTATTTACACGGTTAAACCCATTATATACAGCCATGATGTTTCTCTCAAGTGCGATGATTAAATCTGCTTGTTACTCATGTTCTCCCGATGGCGTCTCAGAGGACGGGTTGGCATCATGTTGGAACTCTCTAATTTGGCAGAAGAATTTTTTTTTAACCATCCTTCAGCCAGCTTACCAGGAAACTCATTAAAAGGATTTGCAAATATAGACATATTTGTTGTGGCTTTAAAATGTGATTGACATCTGTAAATGGGCCAAACATGCTGTTGAAAATATGCAGTTAAATTTAGCATTAGTAATACCCATTTGTGAATTATTTCAATAAAAAAACTCCTACATTTTTGATAAGTTAGAAACGGAAGTCAATAGTGATATATATATATATCGGCGATTCTAAGTTTTTAGTGTTTACAATGAAATTTGTAAAAAGGTAGTTAGAATTTTGTGAAATTATCAAAATAACATGCAATACGGCATTATGAATAATTATAATTTGGTTATCAATGTTTGGGTAAAAATCATTGCTGCATTAGCATAGTGCATTAACAATTGCACATCCATGAGTAAAAAGAGCTACTATCTGTTGAAAAAAAAATCCCCTTTTATTTTTGACTTTACACAAGGATGGCAGACTGAGAGAACTGTTGTGCTTGGATGATTTAGAATGCAGCCTCAGGTTTGGAGCAGGCAGACACTTTGCTAATCAGAAAAGGTCAAAAATAGTTACACCACTGAGTGGAATTTGAAGCATGTCCTGCCTCTTCCGAAAGTCAGACTAACAGATAATGATGGTCCACACAGCTTCTCCACTGAGTCATAGGTTGACAGTTCTGAGCAAAAAAAAAGAAAAAAAAGGAAAATAGTGATGAGGAAAAGAGACAATTATTAGCTACACCTTTGCAGACAGAATAAAATAGGTTCTTTTATTCTATCAGAATCTTGGAATATAAGCAGTTAGCATTCAGGACATTGTACGTTTAAAGCACAATTTTAACATTGAATAATTTTTTTATTCCCTTTGCTAACATTTCCTGAACAGTAAAAATGGAAGAGACAGGGGAAAATGTGGAGGAGGTTTTGTGGCTGGACTGAGTGTCTCATGGTATCTGTGGAAAATCAGAAAATAAATCAGGTTTTGTAAGAAAAGTGCAGACTGAGCTCAAGTATATTCTACTGTGAGATAAATAATTTAGGAACAGAAGCTGGTGTTAGTTATTAGTTAGGCCACTAGTGAATAATTTACATGGAGAAGTGAGTCCGGTACTCATGCACATAGGAATCTCTCGCTTGTATGTTACATAATCTAACTATGTAACTACATCTAACTACATGTTACTATAGGGAAATGTAGTATCTCAAAGATCATAAATGATTTTTTATATTATGATCTGATATTGCATATAGTAGCATATAGTTACTATGCTAATGTAGTAAAAGTATTATAATATAGTTACTGTCTAACTATATTATAATTCTGAGGAATGTTCCGTTTTCCCTTCACTGTCTTTAATGCACCTCGGTCCATCTGAAATCACACCGTATCCGAAATGACAGAGAAAATAAGAGATTTGTGTTCAACTCTGGAATTTGTGTTTCTGCAAATATTTTAGGAATGATTTTTTTCAAAATTAGATTAATTAATTTCTTGTCTGTTAAAATCCATTGGCTTTTAGAATTGTTGTAAATGATTCCTCTAACTTATTTTATAACATAAATTATTTATTTTTCCAGTCTTTCTGCCTTTCGCAGACATTTAAGATATTCATGTTTTTCCAAAATGCATAGAGATACAATGTAATATAATCATTTCATTTACAAACAATATAAATGACAAATAAATATAACAAAAATATTTTACAGTAGTAATTTTCCAAACTTTTTTGTGAATTCAAACACCCATTTGACATGTGCAAACATGTGACTGCTCACCCTCATTACGTTTTACAGTCTTCATCATATCTTTTCATTTGCTTTCCTGCAGGAGCTTGACATGGCCTACTATGACTCCAAAGCTGATTTGGAATATGTAAGTGCTGGACTAAACAAGCTGTCAAGCTAAACAGGTTTAAAAGGCATATATTATCATTTAAACAGCTTTTCTTTTTCAGTTTTGTTCAATCTTGTAGTTCATGGTTGGTTTATTTTTGCGTCCATTATTTATAAATTAACGTTAAAAAGTGCAAAAGGGAAAATAAATGAAAAGTTAGCTGAGAATACAATGAAAGCTGGTGAAGCTGTCATGTCTGAAGGGCCAGAGCATAAAAGAAGAAAAGAAATAGGGTGTTGTGAGCAGTAGGGTAGGGACCTAGCAAACCAGCACCTAACCTGTGGAGTTTAATACAGCTAAGTGCAGTGATCACTTGTGATGGAAAATGTCTTTCAATTCAATTCAATTCAGTTTATTTATATATCGCCAAATTCACAACACATGTCATCTCAAGGCACTTTACAGTTCAACCAGATCATACAGTCAAATTGATACAAAGTTTTCTATCTAAGGAAAACCAGTTGATTGCATTGACTCATTGACTCAAATACAATCCCCCACACTAAGCATGCTTGTAGCGACAGTGGAGAGGAAAAACTCCCTTTTAACAGGAAGAAACCTCCAGCAGAACCAGGCTCAGTGTGAGCGGCCATCTGCCGAGGCCGACTGGGGTTCAAGGAGACAGAAGCAGAGATACAAAAAGCAGCTGTAAAAGGCGGCCCCGTCCAGGAAACACACAGCCAGGCAGACGAGCTCCAAGGCAGCTCCCATGCCAGAGGACGAAGAGAGCACATCCACTCAGTCACGGTCAGAGAAACAGGACCACACTGGAAAACAGGCCGATCTCCAACATCTATTAACAAGGGTGTTGATAGAAGCAGCACAGCTGATGTTTTTTTCCAGGATGACGTCACAGCCAAACAGGAACAGACGAGGCAAAGCTACTCTGAGGAAAAGCAGAGAGAGCAGAAGGTTAGAGATTGAACTAACAGATTCTGCAGAATAGGAGAACAGAGACAGAATGAAGCAGAATGATGAAATGGGGGTCCCTATGTCCTCCAAAAGTCTAAGCCTATAGCAGAATAACTATAGAGATAGCTCAGGATAACCTGAGCCACCCTAACTATAAGCTTTATCAAAAATGAAAGTTTTAAGCCTAGCCTTAAAAGTAGACAGGGTGTCTGCCTCACGGACTAAAACTGGTAGTTGGTTCCACAGGAGAGGAGCCTGATAACTAAAAGATCTGCCTCCCATTCTACTTTTAGAAATTCTAGGAACGATTAGTAAACCTGCAGATTGAGAGCGAAGTGCTCTGTTAGGAACATAAGGAACAATCAGATCTCTGATATAAGATGGAGCTTGGCCATTTAAGGCTTTATATGTGAGAAGGAGGATTTTAAATTCTATTCTTGATTTAACAGGAAGCCAATGAAGAGAAGCCAGGATAGGAGAGATATGATCTCTCTTTTTCATTTTCATTAGAACTCTGGCTGCAGCATTTTGGATCAGCTGAAGGCTTTTAACTACAGTTTGTGGACTTCCTGATAGTAAAGAATTACAATAGTCCAGCCTTGAAGTAACAAATGCATGGACTAGTTTCTCAGCATCACCCCTGGACAGGATATTTCTAATTTTTGCAATGTTCCTCAGATGAAAGAAGGAAATTCTAGAAACCTCTTTGATATGGGATTTAAATGACAGGTCCTGATCAAAAATAACACCAAGATTTTTTACTTTATTATCTGAAATCAGTTTAATCCCATCCAAATGAAGTGACTGGCTAATCAGTTTCTTTTTCAGAGACTCTGGTCCAAAGACTATAACTTCTGTTTTGTCTGCATTCAGAAGCAGAAAATTAAGAGTCATCCAGGTTTTTATGTCTTCAAGACATGCCTGTAATCTATGTAATGGGTTAGCTTCATCTGGATTTATAGACAGATATAGCTGGGTATCATCAGCATAACAGTGGAAATTAATCCCATGCTGTCTAATAATTCTACCAATTGGGAGCATGTATAAAGTAAAGAGAATTGGTCCTAGCACTGATCCCTGTGGTACTCCACAGGTAACCTTTGAGCGTGTTGAAGATCTATCATTAACATGAACAAACTGAATTCGATCAGATAGATAAGATTTAAACCAGTCTAGTGCTGTTCCTTTAATTCCAACAAAATATTCAAGTCTTTCTAAAAGAATATTATGGTCAACTGTATCAAATGCAGCACTAAGATCCAACAGGACGAGCACAGATACAAGTCCATTATCTGAGGCCATGAGAATATCATTAGTGACTTTCACCAGAGCTGTTTCAGTGCTCTAAAGCCAGACTGAAACTCTTCAAAAAGTTCATTATGGTGGAAGTGATCGCAAACTTGTTTGGCAACTACTTTCTCAAGAATTTTGGATAAGAAAGGAAGATTGGATATAGGTCTATAATTGACCAAGTCATCTGGGTCAAGAGACGGTTTCTTAAGCAGAGGTTTAATTACAGCAATCTTAAAAGCTTTAGGTACATATCCCTGTAACAGAGATAGATTAATCACATCTAAAATGGAGGAGGAGATCAAAGGGAATACCTCCTTAAATAACCTGATTGGAACTGGATCTAACATACAAGTTGAATCATTAGATGAAGACAATAATTTTGCTAATTCAGAGAGTTCAACTGGATCAAAGCAGTCTAAACCCGGTTCAGATTCCATGACTACCTCAGGTACAATCGCGGATAGAGGAGTGCTTATGATCTTATTTTTAATAAGATCAATCTTATTTATAAAGAATCCCATAAAATCATTGCTGCTGAGAGCAGGTGGAATGGACGGTTCAACAGAGCTATGGCTCTGGGTGAGTTTGGCAACTGTATTAAAAAGAAATCTAGGATTATTCTTATTCTCCTCTATTAATGAGGAGAAGTATGCTGCTCTTGCTTTACAAAGGGTCCTCTTATACAGCAGTAAACCATTTTTCCAGACTAGGAAGGACTCTCGCAGGCCTGTGGAGCGATATTTTCTCTCCAGTTTCCTAGCATTTTGCTTCAAAGTACGCAGCTCTGCATTAAACCAAGGAGCAAGCTTTCTATTTTTAACGGTTTTCATTTTCAAAGGAGCTGCGTTGTCTAAGGCAATACGCAGAGAACTAGCAACCCCCTCAACAAAATCATCAACCTGTGAAGGGGAATAAGCTAAGCTTTTGCACTCTGCAGCACTGCTCAGTGACACAGAGCAGAGAGAAAGTGAAGCAGATTCTTTAAAATTTATAACTGCACTATCTGATAAAGATCTACTAAAATTGAACCTTCTTTTGGGGGAGGAGAACTCTGTTAAAGTAATCCTGAAGGTTATTAGAAAGTGGTCAGAGAGGACAGGGTTGTGAGGAAATACTGTTATTTCTTCACATTCTATGCCGTATGTCAGCACAAGATCCAAAGTATGAAGATGAGAATGCGGACTATTCACATTTTGAACAAAGCCAATAGTGTCTAAGATAGCATTAAAGGCTGCTCTTAAGCTATCGCCTTCAATGTCAGCATGGATGTTAAAATCTCCCACTATGATGACCCTGTCAGTATTTAATACCAAATCAGAAAGGAACTCTGAAAACTCATCTAAAAATTCAGAGTAAGGACCTGGTGGACGATACAAAGTTACAAAAAGAAGAGGTTTTCTTGCCTTGAAATTTGGATCAGGGAAATTAAGGGTTAAATGTTCAAAAGAGTTGTAGGAATTAATTGTTTTGGGAGTAATCAGTAAGTCAGACTCGAAGATTGTTGCTACTCCTCCTCCTCGCCCAGAACTTCTGGGGATGTGAAAATTTAAATAGCTTGAAGGAGTTGCCTCATTTATGCTCACATAATCCTCTTGCTGCAGCCAGGTTTCTGTAAGGCAAAACAAGTCAATGTGATTATCACAAATCAAGTCATTAACTAGTAGACTTTTAGAGGAAAGCGATCTTATGTTAAACAGACCGCATTTAATTGTTTTAACTTTTTCCCCAATTGGAGTTATTTTGATTTTAATTAGATTATCATGATTTACTCCTTTGGGAATCTTTGCTAATTTATTAGATTTTGGTCGTGGGCAAGACACTGTCTGGATGGAGTAAAGAGTGGGTAACAGTAGAGAAGCTGCAGAGATGTGTGTTAAACTACAACTCTGCTTCCTGGTCTGCACCCTGGGTGGTCAGGGTTTTGGAGGACTAATATTTCATAATATAAATAAATACTATAAAATTTCATAATAGGAAAAGTCTAGAACTATTCAAGCAGATCTCCCATCCTTCTGCTCCTATTGCAGCAGCATTACTCTGTGCTGCACAGTTGTAAGCACATTCCTCCTAACAACCTATGCCACCAGAATGGTCAACAATATACTACAGAGTCTAACTGGCTTCAGTGATGTACTGTAGCTGTAAAACCATCTTTCTCAGGAACATTATATATCACTCAGAAAATTCTACCTTATTAAAATGTATTTTAACCTGTGGCAACAAAAGTGAATTAAAGGATAGTAATCATACTGCAGCTACAATAAAACAAACATCATATTTTTGCTGCAACAGATTAGGGTGCTTACATCTAAAGTATGTGTTTTGAGTGGATGGTTAGTTTATAAACTTGAACTGGACACCAACTAATGTTACCTTCAAAAAAAGAGCATAAAGAAGGCGATTTCTCACTTAATAAACTGCAAGCTTATTAAATAGAACTCAACAGCATATCTTTGGTCTGACGGTTGACTCCCTGCTCTAGCTATCTGCCAGAAGAACTGCATTAAGTTTTCCCTCAGGTTTGAGTTGTTCCTTCCCTTAAATCAAAGATTGCTGTTGTTTCCATGGGTAACATGCATGTTTCCTGCATAGGTGATCTACGTATGTAGCAAATGTTCTCACTCTCTGTTTCTTTGCTGCCAAAAAAGCAGTCATACTTCCATTCAACATATTTCTGTTAAGAAGTCATTATTTCAGTGACAGACAACTCATTAATTACTACGAGAGATTTCCTGACTTTGGTGTTAAAGATCAAATGTGCATCATTCATTTTTAGAAACAGTTTCTGCTCACCAGAAGCAGGATGTGCTGTCATGTGTATGCATTGTATAATTTCAAGATATTTTATTTTTTTGCTTCAAAATATATATACACTATATTGCCAAAAGTATTTGCTCACCCATCCAAATTATTGGAATCAGGTGTTCCAATCACTTCCATGGCCACAGGTGTATAAATTCAAGCACCTAGGCATGCAGACTGTTTTTACAAACATTTGTGAAAGAATGGGTCGCTCTCAGGAGCTCAGTGAATTCCAGCGTGGAACTGTGATAGGATGCCACCTGTGCAACAAATCCAGTCGTGAAATTTCCTCGCTCCTAAATATTCCACAGTCAACTGTCAGCTGTATTATAAGAAAATGGAAGTGTTTGGGAACAACAGCAACTCAGCCACGAAGTGGTAGGCCACGTAAACTGACGGAGCGGGGTCAGCGGATGCTGACGCGCATAGTGCGAAGAGGTCGCCAACTTTCTGCAGAGTCAATCACTACAGACCTCCAAACTTCATGTAGCTCAAGAACAGTGCGCAGAGAGCTTCATGGAATTGGTTTCCATGGGCGAGCAGCTGCATCCAAGCCATACATCACCAAGTGCAATGCAAAGCGTCGGATGCGGTGGTGTAAAGCACGCCGCCACTGGACTCTAGAGCAGTGGAGACGCGTTCTCTGGAGTGACGAATCGCGCTTCTCCATCTGGCAATCTGATGGACGGGTCTGGGTTTGGCGGTTGCCAGGAGAACGGTACTTGTCTGACTGCATTGTGCCAAGTGTAAAGTTTGGTGGAGGGGGGATTATGGTGTGGGGTTGTTTTTCAGGAGCTGGGCTTGGCCCCTTAGTTCCAGTGAAAGGAACTCTGAATGCTTCAGCATACCAAGACATTTTGGACAATTCCATGCTCCCAACTTTGTGGGAACAGTTTGGAGCTGGCCCCTTCCTCTTCCAACATGACTGTGCACCAGTGCACAAAGCAAGGTCCATAAAGACATGGATGACAGAGTCTGGTGTGGATGAACTTGACTGGCCTGCACAGAGTCCTGACCTCAACCCGATAGAACACCTTTGGGATGAATTAGAGCGGAGACTGAGAGCCAGGCCTTCTCGTCCAACATCAGTGTGCGACCTCACAAATGCGCTTCTGGAAGAATGGTCAAAAATTCCCATAAACACACTCCTAAACCTTGTGGACAGCCTTCCCAGAAGAGTTGAAGCTGTTCTAGCTGCAAAGGGTGGACCGACGTCATATTGAACCCTATGGATTAGGAACGGGATGTCACTTAAGCTCATATGTGAGTCAAGGCAGGTGAGCAAATACTTTTGGCAATATAGTGTATATACATATTTATATGTTATAAAATATATATTTGAAGTTTTCTAAACACATGATAAAGTTTTGTGCTTGAATTTTAACACACTTGTTTTGACAGTATTCCATGGATGGAGAGGCAGAGGTGGAAAACCCCTCCCAACTCAAGCTTGACTTTGTGTATGATCCAAACTTCAAAAATAATGTCAACTTCTCGCACACAGCAGTTCAGATTCCAACAGATATTTACAAAGGAGGTGAGTGCTGCTCAAATGATGTAATTTAAAAGCAGGAGCTCTGAGACCTATTAACATGATGAAGATAATTCTAAACAGTAAAGCCAACTGTCATAAAACGGGACAGATGGACCCAGTATTCAAGGTGAGACAGCCAGTAGGAAAGTTTAAAACGTTAATTAAAACAAAACCATAAACAGACAGAAAAGAAGCGCTGAGCTGATGTGGATCTGCGGACCTTCAGCGACTGGGTTGAAGGGGCACCGCCCAATCACTGACACTCTTTTTTAACAGTGTAGTCAATCCTCTCAATAATAGGCAAGATCATCTGATGCACTGCCAACGAGATGCGGCCCTGAGTGTTCCCAATGCTGCAGCCCCAGAGAGTATGCAGAAAGCCGATTCAGGTCAGGGGAGAACAGATCAGGCCAGAAAAGTTCAGGGATCCAAGAGTTCTTCACTCGATCAGAGGTTCTGACCCAAACAGGAACAGAGGGATCCAGGCTTCCAGGAATCCTCAGAACGTGAAGGCAGTTTAGAAGTCAGATGGGCCCAGAAGTGTGCCCAGACAGACATGCACAGGCACGTTCCAAGGCAGGTTCAGAGTCCCGTACATCGAGATACCAGCTCAGACAAAAAAAGCACAGATACAGACAGGCAGAATCCAGCAGGCGTCCAAAGGTGGTTCAGGCAAACAGATCAGATAGGAACAGACAGGGCCAGTGGATGAGAGGGAAAGGATTCAGGAGATCAGAATCACAAATGAAATGCTGAAACGCTCTCACCACTGCCTAGGCCCTAGGCAGTGGTGAGAGCGTTTCAGCGTTTCAGCTTCTTCTTATTTGGCCAAATTTCTGTGTTTGCGAGAGCACTGTACAATGTACAGTGAAGCCTTTATTTAGCCAAACACAGAAGTTCAGAAATACACAGGTAAATTTAAGTTCTGCTGAAAAGATGTGTATCAAAAAGAAATTCTTACAGTCCTCATTGAGTAGCAGATATTTCCCATGATAGCTTGGATGCCCTAACTCGATGTGTCGCTTTAAGTTTGAAGTGGATGTGGCTGACGTACCGACTTGTTTGTTAAAGGTATAGTGGAGGATTTTCGCTGATTTTTGGAAAGACCCGACCTCTCCACTTTTAAAAAAAATCCACATGCACAACCCTGTATCTGCTCTCGGGAGGGACCATCTATTACGTGCATGCGAGAGCGTACACAAGCCCATTTCTCCTTGTGCACACTCTGTTTAAAAGTTGCTGTTTGCAACGCTCATGAACTTACTTTCCAAAAGAAGATTTGCAATTTTTCCACTATGGCAGACTCACCACAGGTAAGTGAAACTGGGGACAAGCATGTAGGACGGCCTTATGTACACATATCACCAGAATGATTGTCAATTAGGAGGACCTCTAATTTTCATGATCCACCCAAAAAAGAACATCCTCCACCAAACCTTTAAGTCTCGGTGGGCACAGTTTACACAAAAAGGCGAGTTTTTTTCTGTCCAAGGCTTCCTTTGTGAGTTCATAAAAACACCAAGCGCTCTGCAAAACTGGCCTCAGAAATACCAACAGATGAGTCTGAATCGCGCAGAAAAGTACCAGCAGTAGAAATGTTTGACTTGTTTACCATAATAAGTGACGTAAAACCTATGAAATATGTTATCAATTGACTACGAAAGGGGACTTTGTTTGTCGCTAATTGTTCTCAGATTGAACGTCGCTCTTGTTCACGTTCATTACTTCAAAACTGATCCGTTCAGCTCACTGTTCACTAAAAATATTAAAATATCCAGTGAACGCAGTTCATTGAACGTGTTCATGCTCAACACAGGTTACCTTAGCTAGAGTCGTAAAGAATAAATTTCAAGTTTCAAAAGTTAAAGCAGAACTTGAACCCTTTTTTAAAATAGCTCTGAAACAATGGGCTTTTTACATTTTATTTTGAAAATGTCTGCTTGTAACAGTTTGATATGCATACTCATAATTGTTTTTTTTGTTTAAAAATACTTTTCTTATTTAGAATCAATTACCAAAAAATATGGAATTATATTTTTAGCTTTGATATAGTTATTATTACACATCTATTGCTCATTGTATTAATTAATCTATTCATAATAAGAATAAAATACATAAAATATATATCATTGGTTCATACAAGTCCAAGCACTACTGTGCATTTTAGATAGTGTATTTAAATGTAGGCGTATTATGTATAATTTAAAAAATGTATGATAAAAATCATGTTATTTCAGGATTTTTCAAATATTATTTTTATGTTTTTACACATTTCAATTTTGTATGTTTTTATAGAACAACAAAACCCTAAAATACACACATATGTTAGAAAAATGCATACAATTCACATAATACTTGGGAATTTTTATTCATTGAGGATTTTTGCTTCAGCTCCAGACATCCTGAATGAGCTGAACTGGACTCAGGCCCTGGAGAGAGTCTTTATGGAGAACAGCAGGGAAGATCCGTCACTACTGTGGCAGGCGTTTGGGAGTGCAACGGGAGTCACTCGCTACTATCCAGGTAGCTGTTGATACTTTTAAATATAAATTAACTCTTTTGAATTAAACAACCACAAAGCTCTATAAACACCCTGTTATTTATTTCTTGCAGCTACTCCCTGGAAAGCACCTGATAAAATCGACTTGTATGATGTCCGGAGAAGACCATGGTACAGCCTGCCACTTACAAAAGTCAATGTTTTTTTTTTTTTATAGACTTACAGTATGTGTGGTCTTATATTTTTCTTCTTTCTCTCTTTGTCACAGGTACATTCAAGGTGCCTCATCTCCCAAAGACATGGTCATCCTTGTTGATGTGTAAGTATTCAGTCATTTTTAAGAAGTTTTTCCAGGAAAATTTTGTCTTTTGGTCACTTCATGTTTCACAACGGGGAACATTTTAAATTCTTGTTGAAAAATTTAAAATTTCTCAGGAAATGGAAAGCTGGGTTAAGGTTTTAAGCTAGATGATCAAACAAAATTTCCGTTAGGAGAATACAGCATATACACTCACCGGCCACTTTATTAGATACCCCATGCTAGTAACGGGTTGGACCCCCTTTTGCCTTCAGAACTGCCTCAATTCTTCGTGGCATAGATTCAACAAGGTGCTGGAAGCATTCCTCAGGGAGTTTGGTCCATATTGACACGATGGCATCACACAGTTACCGCAGATTTGTTGGCTGCACATCCATGATGCAAATCTCCCGTTCCACCACATCCCAAAGATGCTCTATTGGATTGAGATCTGGTGACTGTGGAGGCCATTTGAGTACAGTGAACTCATTGTCATGTTCAAGAAACCAGTCTGAGATGATTCCAGCTTTATGACATGGCGCATTATCCTGCTGAAAGTAGCCATCAGAAGTTGGGTACATTGTGGTCACAAAGGGATGGACATGGTCAGCAACAATACTCAGGTAGGCTGTGGTGTTGCAACGATGCTCAATTGGTACCAAGGGGCCCAAAGAGTGCCAAGAAAATATTCCCCACACCATGACACCACCACCACCAGCCTGAACTGTTGATAATAGGCAGGATGGATCCATGCTTTCATGTTGTAGACGCCAAATTCTGACCCTACCATCCGAATGTCGCAGCAGAAATCGAGACTCATCAGACCAGGCAACGTTTTTCCAATCTTCTATTGTCCAATTTCTATGAGCTTGTGCAAATTGTAGCCTCAGTTTCCTGTTCTTAGCTGAAAGGAGTGGCATCCAGTGTGGTCTTCTGCTGCTGTAGCCCATCTGCCTCAAAGTTCGACGTACTGTGCGTTCAGAGATGCTCTTCAGCCCACCTTGGTTGTAACGGGTGGTTATTTGAGTCACTGTTGCCCTTCTATCAGCTCTAACCAGTCTGGCCATTCTCCTCTGACCTCTGGCATCAACAAGGCATTTCCGCCCACAGAACTGCCGCTCACTGGATGTTTTTTCTTCTTCTGACCATTCTCAGAAACTGATCAGCAGTTTCTGAAATACTCAGACCAGCCCTTCTGGCACCAACAATCATGCCACGTTCAAAGTCACTCAAATCACCTTTCCTCCCCATACTGATGCTCGGTTTGAACTGCAGGAGATTGTCTTGACCATGTCTACATGCCTAAATGCACTGAGTTGCAGCCATGTGATTGGCTGCTTAGAAATTAAGTGTTAACGAGCAGTTGGACAGGTGTACCTAATAAAGTGGCCGGTGAGTGTACATTACTGTTGTTTTCTGGTTGTAATTGCCATTGGAAAGCCTTTTTGTGTCTGAATAACAGAATGTAGCTGCTGGTCTTAAGTTAACTTAAAGAAATTGGAGGCAATGCTTTATTTATTATTACTTAATCTGTTTTGTTTTATTAAACAAAACAGCCACACACCATGAAACCATTACCACCATGCTTCATAGCTATTATAGTGTTAGGCTGTGGTTACTTGCTTTAAACTTCTTTTGCTTTGACTCCTCAAAAAAACATTTTTTTCCCACGTCATTTTAGTTGAAGAGGGAAAAGTTGCGTGTTGACATGAAGCTGTTTTACAAGGAATAGTTGATAGGAGGAAGTTTAGATTGTTGCTGACCAGTTTCATTTTATCCTACAATGACTGTACCAAGCTTAGGAATGGATAAATTATTACATTAAGCGTTTGAAATGGCTCCAATCTCAGCAATATGGAAAATGTCCAAACTATGGTAAAGTCCAAAAAGCACTTTGCCCTACATTCAGCTATTCACACTGACAGAGGCGAGGCTGCTGTACTATCACGCAACCAAGCTCTCTGACCACCAGCTGCACATAAGGGTGGGTGAAGCGTCATGGCCAAATACCTCCTGAGCCACTGTCTCCCAATTGTGAAGTGGAAGGTTAAGGTTAGTGACATTAGCTTGGGAAGTCAGATTTAATCCTGTAGAGTAAACTATGTCAAAACAAAACTGAGTCTTTGATGTAACTTTGCAAATACACGGCTAACTGAGTGACCATATTATTTGACCAACTTCTGCTTAACTTGCACAATAACTTTGATGTACTCTAATTAGAGATCTCTCAAACCTTTATCTGCCTCTACCCACTTACAGTTTGCTCTTTTTGCTGTGTTTGATCAGGAGTGGCAGCGTCAGTGGACTAACGCTGAAGCTGATCAAGGCGTCTGTGATGGAAATGCTGGACACTTTATCTGATGACGACTACGTTAATGTAGCCAGGGTTGGTTTTTGCACGAATTCTTGCCTTTTGATCAATCCTTAATCATCAAATCTCTTCATCTTTTGTACTCGACTGTAGACTGTCTCTTCCTTTGTTTCAGTTTAATGAGAAGGCTGAGGCTGTGGTCCCTTGCTTTAAACATCTCGTCCAGGCTAACGTGAAAAACAAAAAGATTTTTAAGGAGGCGGTGCAGCAGATGCAGGCTAAAGGCACCACTGACTACAAGTCTGGCTTTCATTTTGCCTTCAACCAGCTTCTTAATGCAAGTTACCTACTGATTTATTTCACCAGGAAGATAATTAACTCCAACCGTACTGTGTTTGGTCTCTCTCTATTGACCTGTCATGCATATATATTACTGCGTTTTACAGAAGACAAATGTTCCGCGGGCTAACTGCAATAAAATAATTATGCTATTCACTGATGGAGGGGAGGATAGAGCTCAGGATGTCTTCCTGCAATACAACTGGCCCAACAAAACAGTCAGTGTTATCAATATATTTTCCAAATATAATCCCTCTGTGCATGTAATTGATGCATTTTATATCTTTAATTCTGTTTATTTTCTGTCTCCCCATCAAGGTACGAGTTTTTACCTTTTCTGTGGGTCAACATAATTATGATGTGACGCCTTTACAGTGGATTGCTTGTACTAATAAAGGTACGCTGACATTTCTCTTTCATGACCTTGTATGCCTATGTATTTTGTGAACTATCACCATACAGAGAACTCTTCAACAGCTGAAAAAAGCAGCAGTTCAACGACCAAGTCAGTACTATTTGAGGCCCAAAGTGTACTATTTGATCATTACATTAGTTTGTTAATAAACATGCCTGTTCTCAGTCATCGAGGTCATGGCAAACACAAAACAGGCTTCAGTCTTTCTGTAGATGCACCTGGCCCCAAATCTTTGTCAATTCTGTTGGCTCACACTAGAGCTATGTGTAGTTGGAGCGCTGATGTTTTTAAGCAACCACAGGTCCGTCCTCTAAGTCAGATACAAATCAAAGACCCACCTGTTATTCTTGGGTAATTTAAGTCTTTTGTTGTTTATGGCTTATGTGTTCTACACACATAAAAAACACCTGATTCTCAGTAACAGACTCTAACAATGCCTTATTCTTTATACCGTTTTATTACCCATGAGATTTGAATAGTTTTTTGGAGTCATGTTCATCTTCTTTTTACTGTGTTTTAATATTTTAACTTATATGATTCTAAAAGGCTGATGGAGTTATGCATTAATATATATAGTTTAACAGTCAAGAATAAACCAATCACCTTCATCGACTTATTTCACATGTTTAGACTTCTTTACCCCTTTATTGCTTTGCACCAGTTTCCTAGCAAGAAGTCACTAACACCATCAAAAAGATGAAATTCTCCACATCTACCCTTAATCCTTTTCATAAAGGTTGGCGAAAAGCAAATATTTTTCTCATCAGTCCCTTGATCACAAATATTATTAATCTCTGGCTCCACCACAGGCTGGTGTCGTTCTAACCACTCTAAAAACTGACAACAATAAACCTTTCTCTAAAAACACAATCCCTTATATCCAGAACAGCTTGCCAATTACATGTTCATTTGCAACCCTCCGCTCCTACTCTAAATTCTGGAAAAAGTCATAGCCGCAAGCCCATGTGACCGCTTCATTCTCAATAACATCAATGAGAAATTTCTGTCCTTTTACTTTGCTTTGCCCATAGTACAGAAAAGACCTTGGTCAGTGTTGCAAATGACCTCATTATAGCAGCTGATGCTGGCCTTTTCTTCAGTACTGATTGTCTTGAGGTGTCCTGTGCAGTAAATGGGGCTGTGAGGGGGTTGCAGTGCAGAGAACAAAAACCGGACCCTCTACTACATTGAACATGTTAAGATGCAACACGGACATTGGTCCATGATGTCCAAAGTTATTATCATGGTTTATGGCCCAACAGACTCATACAATCAACTGTGGAGTCCCTCAGGGTTCAGTCATTGTCCCCAATTTGTCACCCTTTACATGCTCCCCCTGGATAGTATCTTCACCTACAGTACCACAGGATTTAGTTTCACTGTTATGCAGACAATACACAGATTTTAATCAAAGCTGACTCGAATCCCCCTTAAACTTTGATATTACTCCATTCCACCTTTTCTCAAGGAGGTTAAAGCTTGGATGTACTGTCCTTCAATAAAACGTGCAAAACTGGAGCTCTGCTAATCAGCATCTCTCAACAGCTTCAGTCTTCCGCCCTCTTCACTGTAAACTTCTCTGGCCAGAACATTTCATTTCTTCTACAGTTACAAACTTCAATGTAAGGTTTGATCCCCACCTTACATTTGAAAAAGTTAGTAAACACCTTAGCAACACTTCCTTCAACCAACTTAAAAACATTCCTACTCATCCGATGCAGCCAACTAGTCCATGCTTGCATGTGATTTGTGTTACTTATTTATTTCTCTGTTGTTATATTTCATTTTCATTCTTTTCTGTGAAAATTTGACATTTTAAAATGTAAAGGGGATTAGAAATATAAATTATTATTATTATAATCATAGATTAAAGGCCATTAAATTGATGGTTAATGTGTGATTATCCTTAAAACAGACACATTTTTATACATTTCATTTAAATTAGGACAGAACATTTGTTCTTGACTTTTAGAAAACCTCTTTTAATATTTTGTGTTTTTACAAATGGTTTCTCTTGGTGTGAATCTCGCTGTTTGCCTAGAGATAAAAACTGTTACAAAAATCACCAAATGCCTGCTTCTGACTCCAATGACCGAAAAAAAGGATTAAGAAACAGGAATAAAAAAGAAACTGGAATAAAATGTATTTTTAGCCTATATATTCAACCACTTTCTTTATTACCAAATATAACTGTTAAAGAGTTTAAATACACAGTGAATATTTTGCTGAAATGTTGGCATATGTAGGTAATACTTTAATTCAACTAAATTCAGTCCAAAAATACTTTATTGATCCCAAAGGGATATTTAGTGTTGTTGTAACTGTTACTGGGTCTTTTCAACCAGTCGCTGTAGATGTTAATAGCTGGAAGGATCTCCTGTAGAGGTCTGTCTGAAGCCTTTGACAGAAAACATTATGTTGTTGTTTAACAGTTTTCTGAAGAGGGTGCCCAGATTTGTTCATATTTGTCTTCATTCAATGAAAAATATTTCCTAGTAAGATCATATTCAGAGGTTCCAGAGGAATTCCCAAACCAGAGCCAGCCTTCTTTATCAGTTTTTTTTTAGCTTCTTTAAGTCATTTGCTCTAATGCTGCTACTCCAGCAGGTGATGGCACTAGACATTCTACTCTCCCGTCCCTTCTATTAGATGGCCTCATGTTCCCCAAAAATTCAGGAAGCTGGACATAATTTATTGAGGCAAAACTAAAACCACTGACTGAGGTACATGGCAGAAAGAAGGAGAAATATGCTCAGATCTGATATCAAGCAATAATTAATAAGGATTTGAAACAAAACCCCCAAAAGCCTACATGGCTGTTTGCACACTGAAGGCCCCTCTTTGTTTTAAGAATCTGGAAACTCGATTTTAAGATAAAGTACAAGTTAAAAGCTGTTTGACATTTAGTATGAAGGAGATGCTCGGAGTACCAACCGTGCCAGCAGAGATTATTCAGCAAAAAACCTAAGATGTATAATTCATCAGTCGATTTATTATGGACTGATGGCTTGATGGACAGCTGACCCAATCTCTAGAGTAAAATCTCTGGAAAAGGCCTTGTTTATATGCTTTGCTGTGGAGACTCAGCAAACCATCTTTCTCTACTTTTTCTTAAAGTAGAGAAAGAATAAAAACTTAATTATTCAAGAATGGGACCTACAAACCCAGTTTTCTGACTGAAATTGGCTCAGAAGCATTTTAGTGTTTCATATTTTATGATTACAACAGTATCATTTAACAGTGTCAACATCAGTAATGAATCATGGATTAGACAATGAAGGATACAATACAGAAAAAAACACCATAACTTAAAAAAATACTATTTCGTTTCTATAATATTTAAAGGTCTTAGACCAACCAAATGACCTTTAAACTTATAGACTGGACAGTTTTACACGCTCTGTTCCACTAAAAACCTAAAACATCATTTTGTTTTATTTATTTTTCATTTACTATTGTGTGTGTGTGTGTGTGTGTGTTTACTTGTTTTTCCTACAAGCCAGGGACAATTTTCTGTTAAGCAGTTACATTGTGAGGATCAACCATCTTAATCGGGACCTCCATCAGGTCGCCTTGGGGGAGTTTACTATGTGTGTATTTGTGTGGAGCAGGGGGTATGCGTTGGTGTGTATTTTTTGTTACACACAGGGTATAAAATGTGTGAATTTTACATTTTACCTGAAACCACAAAAAAGAGATTCTGCTGAACTCCATGCTTTTGCTCTAACCACTGGGCGACCACTCCCCTAGTGGTTAGAGCATTGTGCTTGGGTCCCGGAGGTTCTGAGTTCAAGTTACATACACTCCCACAGACTACCACCCTGGGTCCCTGAGCAAGACCCTTAACCTCAGACTGCTCCCAAGGTGCCAACAGTGGCAACCCACTGCTCCCGAAAGGGGAAGGGTTAAATGCAGAGAGTGAATTTCCCCATTGTGGGAAATAAAGGATTTACATTCACATTTTTAATCTGGTTTTCATATAAAAATAATGAAACCTATTGACAGCAGTTCTACTGCTGCTGCCTGCTTAAAAACTTGGTACACCATTATCTTTAATCAATGCAGCACCTTTTTAAAATACTCACATACATTTTCATTATCTGTGTTTTGTCACTTTTTCACCAATTCTATAGTTTAAAACTTGCATTTTACCAAGAAAATCAATGTTTTGTACCGCAAATCTGAGTATTATTGAAGAAGAATATGAATTTAATCATAAGAAGTCTTGTTTTTAATTAGAGTCAAGCTTTTCATGAGCAGCGGCAAATGTAAAACAGTGATCTGGTCAGATGAGATCATACTGAGCTTTTTAGTCCACATCCAAAACCCTTTGGGCCTGATCTTGAGGTCTGTCTTCCCTAAAACAGGAGCAAACATGTTTGTAACGTTGAAAAGGGATTTTGCATTTTTAATTCACCAGACAACCTGTGCATGTGTGCCTTCATCAATATACAGATCATATTCTAAAGACTAAACTACACATATTCATGGATGGAGGATATGTAAATATAAATATTTACCATGTGCAAAACTATTTTGCTAATGTTGTCTGCCATCCTGCTGGATCTGTGTTGGCCTGTAGACATTTTTTTATTATTATTTTACTATTGTTATTCTTGACAGTCTAAATATGTTAACATGTGCACAGAAAATCTCTTCATCCCCTGACATTATACCAATGCTGCCTTTCTAGGTAACAATGACTGTATATATTTTTGCTTCTTAGTTTACTCCTGACTTTCTTAAGTACAAAAAAACCATGGTATGTTGCATTTGCATATCATCCACCCATTAATTTGCATGGTTTGGTCATAGAATGTATTCTGCATATTAATGAAGGCACACCCGTAAAAAATGGTTTGCACACAGTCTGTTTGCGCACACAAACACATATCACTATGCGCATTTTATAAAGATCTGCTACATTTTTTCACTTTTAAGACACGCAAACCTGAAGATCAGATAAGTCTATTATTGGGTTTGTTTTTAAAGCACATTTGTTAGCGTTGCCCAGTTTAAGTGCAGAAGTAAACGGAAATTAATATGATCTCTTTTGCAAAGAAGTGGAGGAAAAATGATTTTAGAGATAAGCAAAACTGATAAAAGACCAAACCCCCCAAAAATACCTGCAGCTGTGTTATTTAAAAAAAAATTTCATTTACTTATTACAAATTTTACATTATTAGTATATGTTCTAGTAATTAAGATCATGTACATGATCTCAGCTATGTATAAAATACAAATACAAAAAACATTGTTGAGTGAGAACAATGCAAGTTTTTTTCTAAGCCTGTTATAATAAAAGAAAATCTGGGTGCCTGAATTTGATTAGAGAGAAATGGATTAAACTGGATTAGCAGCAGTTCAGTGTTTTGAATGCATAATCTGTGTTCTTTGACAGCTTTCAGGCTTTCCGCAGACAAGTCCTGTGATGATTTAAGCAAATGCACTGACATTTAATGCTGTGAAGTGTTGCTCTTCAAGCTCTCTGTCAGGGAGATTTTGGTGACTGGGTCACAGTTTTAAGTAAAATCTCAAATCTGGAACATTCATGAGCCCCACAATGCATTTTATCTGATCTCATGCACATGCTCCTTTTTTTTCCTCTCTCTCTCTCTGTCTGTCTGTCTTTTCCCCCCTCTGTGGCCTGCAAGGTTACTATTTTGAGATCCGTTCCATCTGTGCTATACGGATTAATACCCAGGTGGGTTTGTGTGGTCCCTCTGACACAGCTGATCCCTTAGTCAATGTTTCACTTAAAGCATCTTTGTCTATTTTGCAACGCACCCAGTTTGTGGTTTGATGTTGAATTTCCTTTAAAGGTTGCATCTGCTTACGTTATGTCTGTATTTTTAATCAGGAATACCTGGATGTGCTGGGGCGTCCAATGGTTCTGGCAGGCAGTGTGGCCAAGCAAGTTCAATGGACCAACGTGTATCAAGATGCTCTGGTGGGAAGCTAAGTATATTTAATCAAAAACAGCATATAAGCTCAATACACAGGGGAAAGGGTGAAACATTTGATGTAACTGGTGCTGTTCTAAACCTGTTCTTTACAGGGACTTGGCCTGGTAGTAACAGGGACTTTGCCTGTTTTTAATCTCACTATGAATGGAAATTCACAGGTAGCAAATCCACAGCAAATAATGACAGAAGGTGGAAAGTTCATGAACATGGGTTTTTAACTTTTTAACATTTTGTCCTTCATGTTCTTTTCAGAATCAGCTGATATTAGGCGTCATGGGAGTGGATGTACATTTAGATGAGATAAAGCGACTGACGCCACGCTATAATGTAGGTGGAACTTAATCTTTATGTTTGATTTGCTAGATAGAGCAGTTTAACACCCTCTTCTGTTGTCTGCAACAGCTTGGAGCCAATGGCTACATTTTTGCCATCGATCCGAATGGATATTTGCTCCTTCATCCTAATCTTCAGCCAAAGGTGCCCTATGTGTGGATAATGAGAAATTGATATGTATCAGGTTGAATTATTTCTGTTTTTGGCTTATTTGGTGTTTAATTGAATCCTCTCAGCCTGTTAACCTTCCTGAACCTGTGACCCTGGATTTCCTGGATGCAGAGGTAGAAGACGCTAATAAAGAGGAGGTGAGAAGCATATTAAATTACAATATCTTAATATTGACTTGGGCTCTCATTAGCCTCCTCTGTTTAGTCTTAAGGACAAAGCTCAACATGAACGGGATCTAACTAAAACTGCCTTTTTGCTTTGCTTTTTTTTTACTCAGATTCGGCGGCAGATGATTGATGGAGGAACAGGGGAGATGCAGATAAAAACTCTAATTAAGTCTGTTGATAAAGTGAGTAAATTGAAGATTTTGCTTATTGCCTTTGCTAAAGCAGATTTTAGCAAGAATTGTAACTTTTTTTTCTTCAACGCTGCTGCTTTAGTTTTTCCTTCATCCATCCATCCATCCATCCATCCATCCATCCATCCATCCATCCATCCATCCATCCATCCATCCATCCATCCATCCATCCATCCATCCATCCATCCATCCAGTAATTAAAAAATATATACAAATTCAGATTAGCACAGGAAACTATAAAACACTATTTAACTCCTTTTTTTCTTACAGATGAATCTATCAGAGCTACTTATAGAAGATGTTTCCTTCTGACTATATTCAGATATAATTTTATGTCTAAATCATAAATATGTAATATATATAAACATATTTTTCTTCTTATAGGTTTTACATGGGTTTATGATCTGATATGTATGGTGACCACTTGGTGTCACTCTAAACCATATCATTAACAGTGCTGTGAAGTAGTCTTATAACAAAAGATGCTTTCCATAAGGGATTTTGTATTTCGCCCCTAGATAGATGTTATCAATGTTTTATTTTTACCAACTGTGTAGTGTGAATTTATTCTGCTGAACTAAATTACTATTTATCCTGGGTTTTACCAGAGTTGCAAATACTGGCAAAAACTAGCAATGACTACCACCTTAATGAAACTCTCGATCTGCCTACAGCATATAAACTGATCACTGCTGAGACTCAAAAATGTAACAGATTGTGAAAATAATCTAAAAACATTTTTGTTAATGACCACTCGATTATCTTTGTTAAAACATCTTTATTTCTGTATAAATACAGCAATACATCGATGAGGCATACAGAGGGTACACCTGGACTCCTATCAATGGCACTGATTATAGGTGAGCTCAAACAAATACAACACACACACACACACCCACATATATATATATATATATATATATATATATATATATATATATATATATATATATATATATATATATATATATATATATATATATATATATAGATATATATCTATAGATATATAGATATATATCTATATATATATATATATAGATATATATCTATAGATATATAGATATATATATATATATATATAGATATATAGATATATCTATATATATATATAGATATATAGAGAGAGAGATAAATAAGGCTACGTCCTCTTCTGTTTCTTTTCTCATATGCATCTGTTTGTTGGGACGCTTCCACCTGCAGCCTTGGCCTGGTATTACCTCCCTACAATGAGTATTACATCCAGGCAGACCTTAGTGATGTGATGCTGCAGCTCCAGTGTGAGTACAGGCAGGCGGGCTCCTTGCTCTGTGCTGCATCTCATTCTGATAACCAACAGCAATGAGAGGTAAAAATCAAAATATCTTGTGTTCTCTGTGTTTTCTGCTTTAGACATGCAGTCGTTGCTGCCGAGCTCCTTTGAATCCTCGGGGCATGTTTTCCTGGCTCCAAGGTGGCTGTCTTTACCTTCTTTGATTTTGTTTTAGATATAGGAAGTATTTTATTTACACTTTTGTTTTTCTGTAGGGAATATTGCAAAAATCTGCAGCTTTCTGATAACAACACACAGTTCCTGCAGAACTTCCTCACTCTTATGCTGGAGAACTCCCCAGAGTCTGATGAATGTGGGTGAAAAGACAGTGTAGTATTAACACTCCTCTTTAGATACACACAAGAAAAATAATGGGCTTTTTTATTCTTGCTGCAGGTGACCAAGGCCTCATCCACAACCTTATTCTGGACTCTAGGATTATTGGTCAGCTTGCTTCTCGTGTTTGGAGGAACAAAGATCTAAATGCGTGAGTCAGCAACACATTACACAGAAATGAAACCCTCCTAATCATGACAAAACAAACTAATGCTGATTGACTGAAATTACAGGTATGGCTTCCTGGCTGTCTTTGCATCCACAGATGGGGGAATAACACGAGTTTTCCCCAACATGTGAGTAAATCAGCAAGAGAAGCAGAACATTTTTGAGGAGGGCACACATTTTCTAGAATTCCCTTATACATATCTTTGCTTTAACATATTTTCATCAAGTGTGTTTCTGGTCCTCAGAGCTGCGGAGTTGTGGGATGTGGATCCAGAACCATTTAATTCAGATTACTACAGACGAAGCCTGGATAACAAAGGCTACATGTTCAGACCTTCAATGAGAGCATGTGAGTAAGAGAATATTTAAATATTTAGCTTAACATTTAACACTACTACTTGCCTAAATTATAATATTGAAAAGTTTTTATATTTTAATAATTTGATTCATAAATTGAAACAGAATAGAACAATGTTCTAAGCAGAGATTGTAGAGACTGATCAGATTTAGAGTTAACCTGTTATTCAATGAAGACAGAGTTGAAGTGGTGTTGACTGTTCACTCACAGTCTCTATAGATACATTATTTAAAAAAAATGTTAACAAAAAACACAAAATGCAAACAAATATTTACATATTTATAATAAAACAACTCAAAAATATGACCTTAGGTCACTGTATATGCAACCAATAAAACCAAACAAAACTGTTTCTCAAAGTTATTTAATTGACCTATGAATTTAAAGGAAGACTGCTGACCTAACAATTCGCAATTGGTAAGCTAAAAAGCTAACTAATATAAGATTGAGCTAATACTGGGCTCAAAAGTTATACAGTGTTGCTTTAATGTTTGAGCATCACCTGAACGGTGCATCTGAATCTCTGTGTGACTAATATTTATGCTGTGACAATAAAGAATCTGTAAACCTTTAAAGCTGTTTAAGGCATTAGAGGACCTTCATAAAGTGTGGGATGCAGTTGGAGTCTATGCTTCAATACCCACCATGCACAATCATACCCACTCACACAGGTTACAACTGTAAGGCTCATTTTATTAAGTTATTCCTGAACTAGAGGAAATTAAACATAGAGGGGAATGTCTTTTTTGTGCTAATAAAAAATAAAAAAAATACTCAACTCTTTCTCAATGATCCAAAGTTCTCTATTTAGGTTAAAGTTTATTTTACATTTAAATTAGGATCAAAAGTCTTCCATCAGCCCTTATGCCATATGAAGGTGTTAGTTCAATGAGTTTTGATCAAATCAACGGTCACCAGAGAAATCCACCAGAAGGTTTTAAAGCACTTCATGCTTTGTAGAGGTGCTGATTTCAATTGTTTCTAAAACAATTTGTTTGTATAAATATTATCAACTACCAATGTGATTTTAATTACCTCTGTAACTTTCCCCTTTATTGGTCTGATTATTGGCCTTTCCTAAACTCCATAAAAAGCAATGGCGTACCGTCAAGAGGAAGATCAGAGAAACTACATCTAACTAAAAGTTACATGTTTATATCAGCGCAGCCTGGACTTTATTAGAATCTCAGCAGCGCCACATTCACTGATTTATTCTCACAGTATTCTGATAGCATTAGCTTCTTCTTTTTTTCTTAAAAACCCCACAGTTATTTTGTGAAACACAAGATTACATGTCTATCAGTTCATTGATGCGTTGTGTGCTGAACAGCAGATGATGACCCTTTTGAAGCTGAAAATGGCACCACAGGAATCCTGGTTAGCTCAGCTGTCGAGGTCAATTTAGGGGGGAAACTGCTCAAACCCTCTGGTGAGAAAAAACTTTTCACACCCATCGTTTAGGAAATGACTTTACTTTTTAACTAAAACGTTTTCAGATGTTTTTTACTCCTTCTTGTGTTCATGTGGTTTGCTCTCTGGTCACACAGTAGTTGGAGTGAAGCTGGACCTGGAGGCGTGGGTGGACAAGTTTAAAATCCTGGCCAGCAATGTGTCTGATAACCGACAGGGGTCACACAAGGTACACCCCTGTTTTTAGAGCTTAATCACAGTGTTACATCATTTGAGCTTTTAGTTCAGCTTGTATATTTTATCAATGAATTTAATTTCTCCTCCATTTTCATTTCCTTGATGTTATATTTAATGTAATTTATATGTGCTGCTTTAAATCTGTATTTCCATGTGCATATTTGTTCCAAAAAAGTAAAAAAAAACATTTACCATTTATGTACCTTGCATAACTGAATAAGCCAATATTGCACAACACACATAATAAGTAATTTGTTACATTTTTAGTAATTACCTGAGTTTACTTTGATGACTTGCACTGAATTGAATCAGTCAGGGATGCATAGTCCGGACAGTAGCTGCTGACAGCCAGCCTCAAGCACATTTCCAAATGTTCATCAGTCATGGTGGAACGGTAGTTGGACTTAATGATCTTCATGTATGAAAAGGCAGTGAAGGAGGTAGCACATTTCCTCAGGTTAGGGTACTTCTGTGAGTAAGTTCCAGAACTGTCCATGAGCTCTTGACTTCAACTCAATGTCAGTTTTTAGAGTCAAAAGCTCATCTTCCACTCCAGAAGAGTTCAAGTGAAACAGCGCTACAAGGTTTGATGTGAGTGAATCAACCTCATCATCTTCCTGAAAAGGATAGCACATAAATGCAGCAACTGGCTCGAGCAAAGAAAATCTTGAAAGCGTTTGTCAAACTCTTACAGACAGTTGTTCATCTGCTCAATGTAGCATGCACTGTCAAGTTGCTCACGGGCCTTCTCTTGTGTCTCCAGCTCTGACGCCAGGTTCTGGAAATTTGCCAAATCATGGGGCTGCAGCTTTTAGGCTAAATGTTACATATTTCATTTGAAAGCGTTAACTGAACTAATCATATTGGTCACTGTTTTGTATTTTCCTTGCAGCTCAGGCTTAATTAATTCAACAATTTTGTCAGACCAGTTAAAAATGCCAAGTCCAACAGCCGTTGATGATCATTTAGCTGCTTGCATTCTACATGTCTAGATACACGGAAAAACTCTTTAATCTCCGGACAGAGTTCTCTAAATCTTTTCAGGAATTTCCCACGACTAAGCCATCTCACATCAGTATGTAGCAACAACTTAGACTTGTCGCAGTCAGCCTTCTCCAGATTTGCACGGAATAACCATCTTTGAAGAGATCTGGCTCGATTATAACATCTTTGTTGTTGTTTAAAATTTATTGTTGTTCGATATTTGTTGCCACATCCATTTCTTTCATGTTGAGCATTTTAGCGCATAACGCTTGCTGGTGGATTATGCAATGGTGGTTCAAGAAGTCTGGGAATGCATCGTCCTCCCTGCACTTTGCAATAAATACATTCACACGTCCAATCATTGCAGGTGCTTCGTCTGTGGTGATAGAAACCAAATTGTACACTGGGAGTTGAGATTTCCCAATAAAGTTTTTTAAACGGCTGTAAAATGGTCTCTCATCCAGTCTGTTCCATCATGGCTAGTGCTGTCAGTAGCTCCTCTTCTGCAGTGAGATCACTAAACAACGTAGGAATGAAAATACAGTTCTGGGCTGTGTCACTCAAATCTGTAGATTCGTCCAATTGTAGGGAAAAACACTCACAATCTCTGATGTCCTTGCACATTTGCTGGGTTGAAACCTCAGCCATGGTTTTACAGCGTCGTGTAACTGTAGATCTTGATAGCTGTAGAGTTTTGATTAAAGATAATATCTCTGCCTTATTTTTAAAAGTCTGCTTCAACGGATGCTTCTTTTACCATCTCTCAGTCTGGAAGGACTTTTTAATAATTGCTTGACTCACCTGGAACGATGCTTTGGTGGTAGCTTTCGCTTTTGAAGTTCCTTGAGTGAAAAATGACTGCTGAGATTTTAGTTCCTACACTTCGCTCTTTCTCAGCTTGCTTTTTGGCGGAAAGTCGATTTTCCATGAACAGTCCGAAAATGCCGCTTCACATTTCACTTCTTTGGTAATGTGATGGTAGACTGGCAGATGAGGCAAACGCACTTTGAAAATGACATTTTGAAAAAAAAGTCCACCTCCCATGCGGTATGAAAGTGATGATGATGTTTTTGCCTTTTTACTTGGTCCAGCTTTCTCACAAATTTTGGTCAGCATATGCTTTACCAAGGGCTTACAATCTGAAGCAATTCGCTAACTAGCTTGTAAGTTTTACTGCGCTAGGGTCATCATTTATGCATAAGCGTGACATTCAGTTGTCATATAAATGGTTGCCCTGTATGTCAATGTAGTGACGGGATGTTTGATAGGCTGACAAATATATTTTTTTACATCACGCTGTGATCGACCAGTACTGCTTCCGCGATCGACCAGTAGATCGCGATTGACGTAATAAGCACCCCTGCTTTATAGAGTGGCCCCGAAAAAAAAAGCCTGTTTTGGCTTAGAAAACATACAAGTTGAACCAGACAAACGGGTCCCCCCTTAGGAATGGGGAGTCGTTTGGGTTTTTTGTTAGCTTGCAATACCCAATACAGGTCTATGCCTCTGAAAGGATGGGTTGTTAGGGGGAATTATGGGCATGGCCGACCAGGCGAAATGTTTGGGTCCCCTGCACGGGGGGTGAGGGTTGAGATTATAGCGGGAAGGAATCATATATTGCTTTGCAAAGGAATCAGCATATTTGCTTTTTTATATATGTTTTTATTTTATTTTATTTTAAAATTGACCTATGAATATGATCTATCTTTGTTTAGAAACTTGACCAGAACTCTTCTTTCCTCATAGTGTGGACCATCCAGAAGCTGTGAGATGGACTGTGAAGTGAACACAGACGTAAGAAAACTTAATTTTTAATCTTTTCAGACTGTGTCATATGCAGTACTCCTTCACAGCACTTTACAGTTATAAAGTGATTTGTATTAGACAATTAGGAACCAAATACCAAAGAGTAAGTAGGTGTTTAAATAGTTTTTGTATTCAAATATGGAAGGACAGAGTATCAAGTTTCCTTTTCTTAAAAGTGTTCAGTGGCTGGCATAGAGGAATGCATGGTAGGAGTTGTTAAGGAAAACTTATTTCACATTTTCATGTCAAACTTAAGATGTTCTGTGGGTCAAACCTCTTGGTGTTGTTTGCAGGACTTGCAATGCTATCTTATCGATGATGGGGGCTTCCTTGTCATGTCCAATCAGAGAGATCACTGGAAGCAGGTGACATTTTTTCAAATTGTTAAGAAAAATCTGACATTATGGGCATGATGCTGTGGCTTATCATGATGGAGGACCCTTAAACACCAAATAAAGAGTCATGTTTTCACATTTGATTTTAGATTGGTCGCTTCTTCGGTGATGTGGACCCTTTCCTGATGTATGCACTTTACAACAACTCCATCTTTGCTCGCCGACAGTCTTTTCAGTACCAGTCAGCATGTGAAATGGTTAGCAGGAGTCATACCGGAGCAGCGGCAAGAAGCATATATGTGGTGAGCCATGCAGGCACGGTTTAGATGATGGTAGGGGAGATGCAGTGTTGTCTTACTGTTCTCTGTTCCTGCAGCCGTCCATAACTGACGTCTTAAGCCTGGCATGGTGGACGTCCACGCTGGCATGGTGAGAGCTCTGCAAACCAAGTAAAACTAGATGCACTAAACACTTTACAAAACATGTTTTTAGAACAGTCCACATATGTGCACATCAGGACTTGTTTGCTTCTAATTGACTGTCATTTATTTGGTGTTGCTTTACTGATTTTCCCAGAGTGGAGTGGTTTTTTTTAATTCATTTTTTTTTATTTGGATCTTTTTAGGTCAGTGATTCAGCAACTTTTGTATGGACTTGTCTACAGTAGCTGGCTCTACCAAGGTAAATCCTTCTTAAAAAAGAAAATATTTCAACTTTAGTAGCTACAGGAGTTCATTAACAAAATGACTGACATAATCATATCCTGGTTCAGTTTCTTTCTAAAAAGAAAAACAACATGCTGAGGCAGTTTGATATATTCAAATTCAATACATTTGTATAGCACTTTGCTGACCAGTCAAAGTGCTTCACTCTATAATTCCATTTACCCATCAACTCAAAGGAAACTCACAGTATGCTGATTTCAAATCATTGCTTTCAATCCAACAGACAATTTCACAACCACTGAACTCCCCAAATTAAACTGTTTAAATCTAGAACTTGATATCTGTGCGTTTTCTCTTTTAGATGATGCCTTTGTTGATGGATTTGAGACCAAACAAAGCAGCTGTGTTACCATCCAAAGCCAGTTCTACTTCACAAACACCACCAACTCCTACAATGTCCTGCAGGACTGCGGAAACTGCTCGCGGTCAGCACTACCTCCAGCATCAGCAAAATATGTTAAAGTGCACTTTTTATCTGTGCTGTAAGGCCAGCGCTGTCTGTATGGGGTTGGCTGACTATCAATCATTGTCTCCCACAGGCTGTTCCACTCAAAGCGTATAGAAAACACCAACCTGCTCTTTGTGGTGGCTGAGACGCTGCCCTGTAGCTCCTGTGAGATTGAGAGACTGTCCCAGATAAAGAGGGAGTGTATCCTCTCTGCTCTCGCTCACTTTATGTGGTTTTATTTGAGCTAAAAGTGGAAAATGTACAATGTGTGTCTAGTTGGTTTTCTTTAACTTAATGTGAACAGTTCAGGAGGAAAATCCATGTGACCTACTGAGTAATGCACGATATCGTAAAGGCCCAACCTCCTGCTTTGACTACAGTGCCTTAGTAAGTAAAATTCAATATATTTGTGCTTCAAAGTCTGAACTTATCATAGGACATTATTAAGGACAAATGTGTGGTTTCTTTGTCAGAAGAAGTTAAATAAAACTTTCCTTTGTTTTAAGTAGTTGCACCCTATTATCTGTTTGCATGAGTTCCCAAACTTTCTCTACTGTTATTAGAATAAAGATGTTAATTAGCAACATTTAGTCCACCAACTAATATTTCTCAAAACTCAAAGCTTTTTCATTCTTCTTGATTTAGCTAGATTTTCTATTTTTATTTGGAAGATTTTAAAATAATCAAAGTATTGAAGCGGCTTTCTCACTTTCTCCCTCTGTTGGCAAAGCAGTTCAATGTCAATATACATGACAGCAGTAGAACATTAGACTGAGTCAGCTGCATAACAAAAGGAGTTGGAGGCTATTCTGCAATTCAGATGTGCTCCACTGCTAATTACGAACAAAGCTCCTTTGCAGATAGCTGAAAAATGTCCCAGTCAGCTAAAGGGAAGCATGTGGATCTCCAGACATAAATGTATTCTGCATACTTAAAATAAAAAAAAAATACAATTTGTTGTTTGACTGGTTTCCCACTTTTTTAGACTCATAATAAAATATGTGTCATAAACTGAATTTTGCAATACAGCAAAACTCTGAGCTACAAATCAATTATTGCAGGATAAGATGCATGAAATACATTCAGAAGGTTTTTCTTTCCATTTTTCATTGTGAAATATGTTTTTCTATTTCCTCCACAGGAAAACACATCAGAGTGTGGACGAGGTTCTTCACTGCAGTCCTCTATAGGAACCCTTCTGTTCATTCAGCTCATTCTGCCCCTCTTCCATCTCTCACACATCCACACACACTGACATGCTCCTTCTCCTCACATTTAGGCTTGGATCTACACAAGGTCATATCAAAAACCAACTGTGACGTTATTTGTCTTTTATTTCCACCAACTACTCATAGGATCAGCTCCTGGTATTTTGTTATGCCTTATTATACATTTGGTTAGGCTTTTTGAAAGCTTCAGTGTAAAATATGGGAAGAGGAATGTAATGAGGTTGCATGCAGCACAACCTGATAAGATCATAAGGTTTTATTTTTATCTTCCACATTTCACAGCTAAAGAAAGGTTGCTAAGGCAGTTAATAAGAATAAAAGTGAAGAACAATTCATTAAAAAGGTGATGTTTTTTTCAAAAATGTCAGTTATTTGAGATCATAAAAGTTGCAAAAGCACATTTACTGTTATTGGGGAAAGTTCTGCATTCCAACTTTGTACTGTACTTTAGGAGTGTTGCAGCATTTGTGTCTTATGCATGTTTTTACAGAAAGTGATCTAAGGCATTTCTCTTCCATGAGGCCTCTAAATGTAAATGTTATAGAGTCGGGTGCTGTATGAGACATCCAACTCTTTTTTTTGTCAGACACGTCTTGTGTTGTCCTTAAATGACACCTGCAGCATTTAGTTTCAAAACTAAATCAGTTATATAACTGACCACTCTCCTGTGAAGACGGTGTAAACTTAAAGTGTACAGTTTGAAATATGTTTGAGCAAATAGTCCTATTTGGAAACTTCATTTCTGCTGTTGAACAGTGCAGAAGTTGGGAAATTTGTAAACTGCATGCTGGTTTTTCTTCACAAAAACAAAAAATAAAAAGTAAAGTGGTCAATTTTGCTTTTAATTGTTATCAAAGATATTTCCAGTTTGAACAGGACCAAAATTCTCTTTAGTTTATCAGCCAGTCCACAGTTTACCCATTTGTTCTTTACAGAGTTTTAGGGTTTGGAGCCTGTTTCTAATGGTCAGAACAGTTAAAACTCTGAGCCCGAACCAAAGAACAAGATTGCCAGCAAATTAACCTTACATGCATGATGCATGCAGAAGGAGAACATGCAAAATCCAGACAGAATCCAGTATTAAACAAAGGGTCTTCCTGTTGAGAAGCAAAAGTGCTAATGATTGCTCTACTGTGCAGCGCCTGATTGAATCAAGATAGGATAAGATTTTGCACATGCAAATTGCTTTGCACCTTGTACGAACATCACTTTTCTTGTGCTAACAAGTTTGCACGTGTTTTAATAGATACAAAACTTTTGAAGATCAGATCCTAAATGTTAGAGTTGAATATTCACTCAAAGGAAATAGAACATTAGCTGATTCTGCAAGTTGTCTTAAAGTTTTAGAACATCTACATGAATTGGAAGCCAGCAAAGATACACCTCATGTTTCTACTTAGAGTTCTAAGCCATGTTTTTTTTTTTTACATGCATGAGCTTTGAAACTAATTACCTCCATGTTTCTGTTGTGCCTGTTTCTGTTTGCATGTTCAGTCCTCGTCCACTTCATCTTACTTAAAGTAGAAAGAGCTACTGCAGCAACAGCTGTTTTAAGATGAAGGTAAAACTTAGCTGTAGCCTCAAAATTATTTGACTTATTCAGCCAGAATAATTCCAACGAAGCTATTCTCACAAAAGCTTAAAAATAAAACATGGTAAAAGTCAATATCATAAAAGCAACCACAAACAAAAAAAAACCAACGAAAAAAAACCCCCCACAGGTTTCAGGACAATAGACATTCTTGCATTTCACTGCATTGTAAGATTAACAGTGGGTTTTAACGAGATGCTTTATAACTGCTCAGTGGTTTTAAAAAAAGTGCTTCCAGTCAAGTTAGATGTTGTCCAAGAAAATAGAATCGAACAGGTGACTGATTAACTAATGTGTCCATAAGAACTATGACATTGAATGCAATAACAGTCTCCTCACTATTTACATCCATACAATGATAATTATGAGGAATCCTCAATATGCTCTGCTGATATTGCAATTTTCATTGTTTTATGCATCAGCTGGTTAACTGATTAGACACTCTAAGATGTATTTTTGTAACTTGCATTGTCAAAATGTTGTCAACTTTGGAATTATACACTTGTGAATGCTTCTGTATGGAGAATGTAGCCTATAGATCGCTTTTGATGTTGTTTTTTGAAATCTAATTTTTTATTTATTTGAATTGTTCAGCTTGATTCACTGTGGCAGAAGCTTTCTGTTTTATTATGTGTACCCTAACTGACACTTCTGTCAAGTTTTTTATTTGATCTGCCCTTTTAGGACAGGGGTCACAGCATGTACAGTGTAATTTATCACGCGTAACCCACATCAATGCCAAAATACTACATGCTATTATTCTTTGAGACACTTTTAAATCTAAATTTAAACTTTATAGCATTATAATTACTAAACAGTATTTGGACTTATGTTCTATTAATTTGTTAAACATCTAAGTATAGATTGAGTATTTCAATAAAACTTGGTTTGATTCACCATAAACCTATTTTGAAAAATTTAAAAATGTTAACCCTACAGCTTCTTTCAAGGTGATATACAGTGGCATAAAATTCCTGTAAAATAGTTAATGCACCACTATGTTAGAACAATTAATTTTAGACACATTTTTCCACTAAATGAATGTAAAAACATCTGCTTTGAAAAAAAGTGTTACTGGACAGAGAGAAGTCGGAGTACTCATAGTGAAATCTATAATGAATCTCAGTGCAGTGATTCATGCTCTCTTGTCTTTTCGGTCATTGATTTAACTGGCTGCTGTCTTACCTGTAGTATGTTTTTAAAAGTTTTCTTCGAATAAGTATTTGTAAACTAACATTTTTCTCTGTCAGCCTGGTGTTCCATCCCACAGTGCCTTGTTGCACTCGTCATTTTGAAATACAGGATCATTTGGATCTCAGCTGTTGACATTCTGTGCGAAAGACATCCTTAAGAATAGAAGCAGCTCAGTTTTAAAGATACTCATTTGTTCCAGGAATATATTAAAATATGCTCATATTTGAAAGCTTTAAAAGAAGCACAGTTGGTAAAGAGAACAGCATAAGGTTGCTGCAGGAACCATGCCTGAAGTTTTCTGATGGACAGAACCTGACAGGAACCAACCTGATTGCTGCCCTGCTTTATCTTATTGATTTCTACACTGTGGTTCAGATTTAACATAAAGAACAGACTCTAGATTTCTACTTTTTCCCATAAGCGCACTCAGTTTGTATATATAGACATATATAGGAAAGATTTGGAAAGATTTGCATATCAGAACAGGTGTTTACTTAAACAAAACAAACTGTTTCCCATCTCATCTAGACCCGAGCATGACGGGAACTTATAGAACAGACCAAGGCCACAAGATATTCCGTGAGTCTCTTGTAACCTAACGGAAAGTGAGTTTGAGGAGCTTTGCAGCCTATAAAGTATTGCTTTATTTCAAATGATGGTATTTACTTGCATGATATTTTGAACACTTCAGAGATATGTGTACATAAAAGTTGATGAGCATTTTATGTCTGTGTCCAGCACTGCAGCCTTTTAGGATAAACATGCACGTGAAGAAGCTGCAGATGAATTTGACTTCAGTGAAGCCTACAGGGAATGATGGCATACGGAAGATTTATATCTCTTACAGCAAACAGTGAAGATAACAAATATGAGCGACATACTGCCCAATGAAAATCTTTTATGTTGAACAAAAAAAAATTTTGTTTGAATCACTTAATATTCATGCATCTATAGGTTGTATTTGAAAATAAGACACACTTTAAACTGATCACATATTCTGTTTGCTTATTATAAATGACATCTCTGTACTGCTTTTTTTAATGTATGGGATATTTTGTATTGTTAACTATTCATACTCAGCTGGTCAGTGAATAACAGATGGGATCAGAATGGATTTGAAGCTTCTGCAGGAACAGGGAGTAAAAATGGATATATAGTACAGCACCCTGTATGTTTACATCCTCTGGTTTTTCTGAGATTGTTTTTTTTTTTTTTGCTGTAGCTTTGCTTTTCATTATGCTGACATTGTTGTTTACTAAGCTGGAACGATTCCTTTTCTGTGTGCCAGTGCCACCTCATTTTGTACACATAATATGAAACAGTGGAACATGAAGGATGACTTTGTAAAGATTTTTGTCAGTCTCATTATGAATTAGATATCTAAATGTTTATATATTTGTTCATTAAAATGCTATTGATATTTTTCACTTCAGCTCTTAATGATTATTTATTAGACTTTCGTGTTATTTTCATGCGTTATACTACCCCCATATTGATCAGTGAATGTATAATACAGTTTAAAATTGACCATATTAAACGCTGGTTGAATAGATAAACCATTTGTCACTATTTCAGGCCTGGTCGATAGGTAACATACACTTAAATGGTCATTAATCTCACAGTAACTACATTCTTCTAATTACTGATCTGTTTTTATAGAGTGTTAAATGGTACAACATAGTAAATATTATATATTCATACAGTTTAACTATTATTTGGTTCAAAGTCCACAAATTACGAGCAAACTTCTTAAATAAATATTAACAATGTGTGGAGCGAAATCTCAGTGGATACTAACTGACTCTTAAACTGTTTTTTTACTCCCATAAACTGGGTTTTTATGAAAAAACCAAAACACCCATCTGTTTAGTTGACATACTGTTTGACTGTTAATACACTGGCCTCAGCTTTGATGCTCTTAGATTTTACAAAATTTGTGTCATCAATGTCAAACAAGTCAAACTATGTCTCATGGGTTGAGAAAACACTTCTCCAGAAAGCTTCTTTATTTTGCCCATTCAAGCATCTGTGCATTTTCAGCTTTGATGTGTTGAATTTGGTGCTGGGCCTTTTTGAGGGTTGGCACTTTCTCAGATCAAAGCAAGGTTAAATAGGCAGTAATAGATCAGTTCAATTCATTACAAGTTATTTATATAGCACCCATTCACAGAGAGAACATAATTTTAGGGGTTGAAATAACTAATACTGCAGAACTGAGGTGGAATGAAGCAGAATGATGAAAAGTGGTCCCCATGTCCTTCAGCAGTCTAAGCCTATAGCAGCATAACTAATGAGATAGCTAAGGATAACCTGAGCCTTTCTAACTATAAGCTTTATCAAAAAGAAAAGTTTTAAGCCTTGCCTTAAAAGAAGAGCTGAAATTTGAACACACACAGGTGTTTCAACTGAGCCATCTTCCAAAATTTAATAAAGCTCGTTTTGAAATTGTTAAAGTAGACTAACATTAAGTCTTTAAAATGCCCAAACCTCAACCTTATTGAACATCTGTGTCTAAATGCCAGGTGGGATGCATGAAACCAATCAGTTAAAATGCAAGGAGGGTTTGTCAAAAAAGAGCACTCTCTCGTCAGCTAGAAAGAATTTAACCAAATATCAGTAGAAGTTTATGTAGTGTTTGTATGTACTGAAATACATGTATACAAATTAGACTACAATAAAGACAAACTTTTGAACCCAGTCAATACTAAATTTAGTGCTAAAGGTAATAGGAGATTAATTATGCCCAAAGTGATGGGGTATACACCTCAGACTTGCACTGTACTTCACAAGAGCAACGGCCTACAATGTATGCTTGATTTTCTGTACTGCTCAAGCCAAGGACTAAGTTGTTAATAACTATCACCTCATAAAAAAACCAGATTAATGAAATTAATCGATCATAACTTCCAGAACATGTGGATCTAAAAGGCTCTGTAATACTTGCACTTCTTTCTAATCCCAGGCTTTAGATGACACTTGAGCCTCACCACTCTTCTGCACGTACCCAGCTTAACATGGTGCA